TCATTTAATCACATATTAAACTATGATAAATACTCTATTTATTTCTATGTATTTATGTGTCACTCATTTAATATATATATTTATATAAAATTTTGCAAAAGCTACTACAAAACTCCAATTCTCATATGATTTATACATTCACAGACAGGCGTTAGTGATTTTAAATAAAAATTGATTCATGTGTTATTCTCCATAAGTTCATATAAGATTATAACTAATAATACTAATAAGTTGACCAAGCTCTAACGCCTGTCTGTGAATGAATTATTCATATGATATTACAGTTATGATAGACATCTCGAAAAATCGACAATGACAAAATACATTCAAAAAATACTATACGGCATCAAATAAAATACAAAAAACTTACAATTTATTTATTATGATTTTATATGATTATTTTATTGTCCTTGATGAGCTGACTTTAAATACTTATAAATTATAATTAGTGTCTAAACTTATGAAAAGATATTTTTCAGTATAAAGCGCGCGACACCTGAATAATGCCATTGTAGGGGTCAGTGTGGGGTAAGTGGTCATCACACATATTGTGCTCTTAATTGGACTATAATTGTATGAATTCTGAGACCAATATCTTAAACGGTTATCATTTTATTCAAGAAGTAGTGCTGCCTTTAAACTGTGAAACGCACTGTAGTTACTGTGACCAACTGTCCAGGTTTGACCTGGACTGTCCAAGAATTAGGGTATCTGTCCAGTGTCCAGGGCAAGATCTCACCTGGACAATGTAATGTCCAGGAATGGTAAGTAAGAAAAATTAACATAAAGTTGTACACATTTTTAGACAAACTGAATAAATTAATGATAAGACTTCAACTTAATTTTAAGTTAATATTGAATCTTGTTTTATTTTTAATAATTTATGATTAAATCATCCATATCTAGGTGGTATAAACGACCTTTATAGTCACTATCATAGTTGACAAAAAGTGGTCAAATAGTTGGTTAAATAGTTATTTATTTTTCCTATGTTTTTCATAATTTCACTTTTTATAGTTAATATAACCAAGTCGCTGATCTATTTTGACCTCAAATTATGTAAACAAATCGTTTAGATCTTAATTATATCATATTTAGCCACTAAACAATATTAAATTAAAAGTAATGACAACAAAAATACTTAAGATTTTAGTATAAATATATTTTAGAATTCAATTCTCTCACATATACTAGTATTTTCCAAATTTAATAAATTATATCAAATCAAATCTTATATATAATCCTGAATTTGCTTTCCAATACCAGATATACTGAAGTATTAAAATACTGTAGTTTAATCTATATTTGTTATGTTAATTCTTGACCAAAATAAAAGTATACCAAATATGGCTTTAAAACATACAGTATGTCCAGGATTGTCCAAGAATTTTATGAAATATTTACATGTAATTTTAAGGTTTTAAGATTTCGAGTTGGTCACACTAACTACAGTTAATATGTAGTGTGAATACGGTCCTATATTTATAAATTATAATACTACAGTATATTACTATTACTATCAATTAGTATACAACTACTAAATGTATTGGGCAACTTTCAGTTAAATACTTGATGTTGAATGACAATGATAATGGTGATTATTTTGCAAATAAACCAATTTATAGCACTATTATCTCCATGTCTATGTCTATGTGCCTATGCCTATGCCCCATGTATTGACCCGAACGACAAGTTGAAGCCATAATGAGTTTGCATTAAAATTCCAGACTTCACTTCAATTGCAAGACATTGTGAATGGAATTTCCAGTCAATTTCCAGTGCATTGACTGCTTATATATCTGTAATCTATTCAACATTTAATGCTTATCTGTTCATAATATTCAACAAATTTATACATTTCTAACGAATTAATGAAAACAAATTTATTTTTTATTCAAAAATAGAAGAAAAATACAGAATATTTGAAAAATGGTATTTCAGGTAAAATATATTAATAATAATAATATCCATAAAAGAGTGGATATCCTGGCGGTGAGGGTGGAGGGGGTCGAGATGAGGGTCTGTCGGGCCGCTCGACGGTCCAAACCCCTCCACTACCACCGGGTCTGTCGGACGCCCATCCACTCGCACTTATAGGTCTATCGACCGGTCGGTGTACTCCGCTTTGAACAGTACTCGGCCTATCATAAGGTCTGTCCACTTCAGGTCTATGAGGACTATTCTCTGGCCGATGTCCTACACTGACAGGTCTATCAGCACCTCCATTCCAACTGCCACCTCCTATAACGGGCTCAACACCGGGTCGATTCACGTCGCGACGTGGAGATACATTGAAGGGGTACTGTCTGTCCACATTGCCGGGCGGGTCGTAATTGCACACAATATATGTTTCATAATATTTGCGAGTGTCGTCCTCAACCCGAGCGCACCCTAAATGCTGTGACGCCCTCCACACCACTTGACTGAAACCTCCAGTTTTCTCATGAAAGCGGGGGTTATTGTAATCGTAAAGGTCGCGCCCTTTATACCAGAGGTCGACCGCATCGGCGCACGAATGATAGCCAGTGTTGTCGTAATACCAGTAAAAGTTTTCACCTAAAACTAATCCCTTGTCAATCGGTCGCTGGCCATCGATTTTGGCTAAACTTCGGATTCTACTCAATGCATATTCAGTCGCCTATCAATCAAACAAAACCATTATTTAGTTCAACATTTCTATTATATTATACAAAATTACGTTTCTAGCGATTTTCAGTCTTTGAGTGTTTTCGTGAAGATCTCTGTACTTGTTGTGAGCAATGAGACAGTCGTCTAGAAATTTGTCATCTGCTATGACTTTTATGCCACAACTGATATCTAATCAAAATATTAATTTAAATTAATATTTAAATTTAAAATTGATTAATTTAGACAATCCGTACATTTGATTGAAAATACAAATATTGCACTGAAAATCAAGAATCGGTACATATTTTAAAATTATTTATACTAAGAAATATTTCGCAAAATAAGAGAATTCTCGACACAATAAATGAAAGCAATAGTTAAATGTCTAACTTATATAGACTTATATAGACTTTCATTCTTATCACTCAAACACATCTCTGGCTAGAAATGCATCTGAAGAGTGGGCACTAAAAGACATACAGGTTTCAGGTTTGGATGCATTGCCTCTCAAGTCTGGAATTTCAATGATAACACATTTATTGCTTCAATGAATGGTTGCGGTCATCATTCAGAGGTAACTCACTTTCCGATACAATCTCTCTCTCTCTCTCTCTCTAAAATCAAAATCAAATTCATTGCTATTCAGCACAAGTTTTGAAACATTATTAGATCACATATTTATGATACGAAAAGCAAACTAATAATCTTTGGGCACTGAGTGGTGAACAAAATGGATAGGTTTTGGCGTGAAGAGCACATCCATTGCTGTGTCTTATGAACATAGAGAGCATTAGATTTGAAACCAACTTTCGTATTAAAATTAAAATACTTGTAGTAAATGTTAAAACATATTTAGTTAAATTTAGTTTATATCATATTAATATTTACCTTGGTCAAAATTTTAATGTAAAATCAAAAACTCGTGTTTTAAATGCACGTAAAATTACTTCTTAACTTACAGTGTTATGCAATCATACATTGATTCAATTGTTTTGATATTCACTTCAATGCTAGCGCTGTAAAGAAAGTAGTAATTCTACGTCAATTCAATTATTACATTCTGTACTGTACTATCATAGTACATTACTGTATTACATTTTTATTAACAACCATTAATTATTATTTATACAAGCTTGCTAGTATACTAGTATCCCCTAGTTACAATTAATTATTAGAAGCAAGAATCATTTTAAAACACTTAAGCGTCATTCGCAAAGTACGTACGCAAGAATTGACCCCTTTCCCCTGCACGCCCATCTTACGTAGGAGTTTTAACATGTGGACATACGCTTTGCCATCATCCCCCCCCCCTTACGAGTGCGTTCGAACTACTTTGCGAATGATTTATTAAGGAAATATTATACAATATAATTTATACTATACAGTATAAAGATTTATTGTATATTGCAGTAATACTGTATCTTGGTATATTTAATCTCCCATTTAAATACAAATAAAAAATGATCATTTAATATGTCTGCAAATACAGAGTATACGAAAGAGACGACTTAACTCTGCTTTCATATGATATTAAATTATACGCTAATATATTTTATAGTATTGCTTAACATTATAACAGTAATATGAAAACAGAGTTGAGGGTCTCTTTCGAATAATCCCACAGATTTAATAAAAAAATTTAAAAATCTATAACCATATTATATTACAATAATTATTACATTTAAAATTGTAACTCTTTATCTTGGTATAAATTTGATATGATAAAAATGTTTAAATTGTAATGAACGACTATTCTGGTGATGTAATCAACTATTATAGACTATCCGAATAGGTATTGAAGAATATTAAAGAATGTTGAAGAATGTCAAATAGGGTGTCATTCACAAACTACAGTACATATGCAATATTTTCTCCATAAATTTACCCCCCC